GCATGCATGGACAATGCACAGCTTTCATTTTGTCTTCCTCGAAGGTTTTATTTCATAGATTTTTAACTCTCCTTTCCCCGTTTCCTGTCCAGGGGGGCGGAGCAAATTACAGACGGAGGTGGATTTTAGTGCATTTTATTACAAATATGGAGTCATTATTTTGTACATTTTTGTAATGTGCTGTGACACGTTTTTTTAATGGACCTTCCGGTATGTGTGATGGCTTTGTGTGTGAGAGAATAAAAGAAGAACCAAAACTTTCCATGTCATACTTCCAGCTGTGCACGTTCCTATCTCTTCCCCTTCCTGTGCTTGTGTACGTGAACAGACCCTGCCCTGTGTACGGACATTCATTCTTAGTAGAGATGCACCGATACCATTTTTTCCAGAGTCCTTTTCCTCAAGTACTCGCCGATACCAATGACCTTTTTTTTAGTGTCATGTCTAATATAATAAAAACGAATGATTTTAGGACAGTGGTGGAGCGCAAGGGCCCGGGCCTAGTTGCAGCTGCTGTGACCCTGATAGTTCTGCTACTGACTCCAAGCTGTAGAGGGACTACAAATCTCAGCAATACATTATACAGCAATGCCGAATAATACCACCAGCTATAGAGGACTACAAATCCCAGCAATACATTATGCAGCAATGCCGAATACCACCAACTATAGTGGACTACAAATCCCAGCAATACAGCAATGTAGAATAATACCACCAGCTATAGTGGACTACAAATCCCAGCAATACATTATGCAGCAATGCAGAATAATACCACCAGCTATAGTGGACTACAAATCCCAGCAATACATTATGCAGCAATGCAGAATAATACCACCAGCTATAGAGGACTACAACTCCCAGCAATACATTATGCAGCAATGCAGAATAATACCACCAGCTATAGTGGACTACAAATACCAGCAATACATTATGCAGCAATGCCGAACAATATGAAGCTACATACTCTTGCTCACCATGGCTGTTCGGGGTCTGACCAGCACTGTAACGGGGGGTCTCAGGAGGCTGTGTACGGTCTCACCAGCGCTGTCTGTGGTCTCAAGGATGTTCGGGGTCTGACCAGGGCTGAGAATGAGGATAGGTGGGAGGTTGCTCATGCAATGGTGGGCCTTTGCTGCTGCTGGGGGAAAAGCCAGCACCTAAATATCAGACGGGACGCTCTGACCTGTCACATGGTTGGGCCGTAGGCTCCGGGGGGCAGGTCAGGCTTTGTAGTTGACAGCCTAGCGAGCTATAGCATCGCTTTTATATTTGTAGGGAGTGGTAGTCCACCAGCGGGCCAGTCCAAGCCTGCGCGCATGCCACTTGATGATCTTACAGGGGCCACTGAAAAAGGCATTCCTCGCCCCGACACACATGCCTTTCATGGGTGGGCCCTCCAGCTGTGGTGCAACTACAAATCCCCCCCCCCCCCC